CGCCCCTAACCACGCCCCCGTAGTCCGCTCCCAGCCCCGCCCCTCCTGGACCCCGTCCCCGAGGCCGCGGGCAGCGAGCAGCGAGCAGCCCCGGGCAGGGTCAAGGCCGTGGCCACCGTGCTCGGTGGTGGCACTCGTCCTCCCTGACCGGAGATAAGAAAAAAGGAAGAAAAGTCAAGTTGCAGCCGGTCGGGCCGGTGGTGAGGGCGGCGTCAGAGGCTGCGGCTGCGAGGGCTTCCGCAGCTGCTGCTAAAGGACTCCAGTGTGAAGTGAGGTGTGAACAGGCCTGTGCCTGAGCCCAGGGTCCCTCCAGGGCGGGGGGACCTGGCGTGGGGCCGAGTCCCGGGACTGAGGGAGGGGGAGGCCCCACTTCTTTGCACATGTGCAAATACAGCTGTAAGAGGAATTCTTAGAAGTGTAATTGCTGAGTCAAAGGCGACATTTCCTCCGTGGTCGGCAAACCGTGGCTCACGAGCCACATGCGGCTCTTTGGTCCCCTGAGTGTGGCCACGAAGTTTCAATTGCACTGTATGTGCGCGCCCGCACGTGGTATTTTGTGGAAGAGCCACACTCAAGGGGCCGCAGTTTGCCGGCCACTGCCCTAGTTGTTTCAATAAACGATGCCAAATTACTCTTCTAAATTGTACTAACTTGCAGTTTCATCAACAATCCATGTAATTCAGAGATATAAACTGTGAGATTTAGCCCGGCTGGCGTGGCTCAGTGGTTGAGTGTGGACCTATGAACCAGGAGGTCACGGTTCGATTCCCCGTCAGAGCACATGCCCGGGGTTCCGAGCTCCATCCCCAGTGTGGGGCATGCAGGAGGCAGCTGATCAATGATTCTCTCTCATTCATAGATATTTCTCTCTCTCTCCTTTCCTCTCTGAAATCAATGAAAATATCTATATATATAAAAGCCTAAGCGACCAGCCAACTGGTAGCTATGACGTGCACTGACCACCAGGGCTGGACACTCAATGTAGGAGCTGCTGAGCTGCGGGGACTTAGCAGCTGCAGTGTTCGGGCAATGTGCCTGGAACCACAGAGGAGGGAGCCCCATTCCAGGGGGTGTCACCCGAGAACCACCCTCTCACAACCTGGGACCCCTTGGGGGAATGTCAGAGAGCCCGTTTCAGCCTGATGCCCGCAGCCCAGGCCGAGGGACCCCACTGGTGCATGAATTTGTGCACCGGGCCTCTAGTTAAAAAATAAATAAACTGAGATATAGAGACTTGTTCAGTTGGTAGTAGGATCAGGGAAACAAACAAAATGCACAAAGAGAACCCATGAGGTAGTAGTTAGATGTTATGAATGAGCAAGGTTACAAAAATGAAAAAAGATATACCCAGTAGAGGGAGAAGGGATAGGTGGTTGGTTGGTTGTAAGGTAGGATCATTAAAATCAGGACGGGATCTGTGTTACAATAAATGTGGGGGTTTTGGCAAAGTCCTGCCTCTTAGACTCAAGCAAGTAGGTGAAATGTACTAACAGATCCCAATGAAAATGTGTTTATTAGAAGGGGGGTCAGGTCCTTATCAGGTGCTAAGCCCTGTCTGGGGCTGTGATTGTCAAACTTTTGTGAGCTTCAGAATCACCCAGGAAGCTGGATAAAAAAACAGGTTTCTGGACCCCACCCTAGAGTTTCTAATTCAGTACCCATGCAGTTCTTTTGGCTTCTGCTGATTCTAGATAAGCTAAGATCATCTCTGACCCAGTCTATTATAATAGCCTCCCCATCAGTCTTCCTGAGTCTATTCTTGCCCTCTTTCATTTCGTTCTCTACACTCAGCCAGAGTGATCTTTTTTTTTTTAAATATATTTTATTGAATTTTTACAGAGAAGAAGGGAGAGGGATAGAGAGTTAGAAACATCGATGAGAGAGATCGATCAGCTGCCTCCTGCACAGCCCCCAGTAGGGATGTGCCCGCAACCCAGGTACATGCCCTTGACCGGAATCGAACCTGGGACCCTTGAGTCCGCAGGCCGATGCTCTATCCACTGAGCCAAACCGGTTCGGCGCCAGAGTGATCTTTAAGAAAGTATGTAATCAAGCCCCCTTGGTGACTTCCTAATAACACAATGTTTTAGTCTGCTCAGGCTGCCATAACAAAATCTCACAAACTGTTGGTTTCAACAACAGAAACTTACTTTCTCACAGTTCTGGAAGCTGGAAAGTTTAAGATCAAGGTGTTGGCCAGTTCAGTTCCTGGTGAAGACTCTCTTCTTGGGCTGCAGATTTCTCCCTATATCCTCACATGGCCTTTCCCCAGGGGGTGGAGAGAGAGAGAGAGAGAGAGAGAGAGAGAGAGAGAGAGAGAGAAAATCTTGTCCTCTTCTTAGAAGGCCACTAACCCCATCATGAGGGCCCCGTCTTCATGTCCTAATCTAACTATACTTGCCTCTCGAAGACCCCATCTCCAAATGCCATCATCTTGGGAGTTAGAGCTTCAACATATGAATTTGGGGGGGACAGAAACATAACACTATAAATTTCTAAATAGAAATGTATTTTTATTGTTGTTGTAATCCTCACTCGAGGATATTTTTCTGTTGATTTTTAGAGAGAGTGGAAGGGAGGGGAAGAGTCAGAGAGAGAGAGGGAAACATCGATATGAGAGAGACACATTGGTTGGTTGCCTCCCACTCCGGCTCTGACCGGGGCTGAGGATGGAGTCTGCAACCCATGTACGTGCCCTTGACCAGAATCAAACCCGCAATCCTTCGGTCTGTGGGTCGACACTCTATCCGCTCAGCCAGACTGGCTAGGACTATATTTGTATTTTTGTAGATTACACAAATAAATGTTTTTCTATGCAGCAAATATATCATTTTATGGTAAGTAAATTTTACCTTAAAGAAATGGAAAAAATTGTGAACTCTCATGATATGCATGCTGTAGTGTTAAGGGGTGAAGTGTACTGATGTCTGCAAGTTACTTTGAAATGCACAAAAAATAAGAGGGATAAATGTGTAGATGGATAGATATAAAGCAAACACAACAAAATGTTAGCATCGTCAAATCTTCATGGTAGTTATACGGGGGTTCACTTTTAACTTTTATGTATATTTGAATGTTATCATATTACATTGAGAAAAAAATTTAAATTAAGAAAGTTGATGATGATCTTGTCAGAATCTTTAAAAGTTAAAAAAAGTAGAGAGAAGATTATAATGAACCCTGTGTGCCCTACATCCAGCTTCAAGAATATCAATCTGTTCTACTTATATTCCCACCCACTCTTTCAACCCTGCCTTCCTGAGTTATTTTAAAGTGAACCCTAGACATCACCTTGTTTATTCTGTAGATATCTTAGTTTGTATCTTTAAAAGATAAGAAATATTGTTTCAACAAATCCTCCTTGAGCACATATGCTGTCCTCTTAAGGGATATAATAGTGAACAACATAGACATGGTCTCTGGTCCATGGTGCTGATAGTTTGTAAGAAAGACAAACAATAAACTAGTAAATACTTATAAATTACAGCTCACGAAATTACACGAAACCCAGACCCCTGACCGCACCACGGGACCCCAAACTCCCACTGCTGCCTCGGGACCCATCAGTGCACCTGGTGAGTCCGATCATTGGTCGTTACGGCGTTATGGTGTATGGCCACAGGCCTTTTATAATATAGATGATAAGTATATAACCAGTTTTATGTCTTAACTTGTGAGATATATATATAGTATATGAAACAATTTCATTTTTTTTCTCCATTAACCATCCCCACTGTCTCTAGCAAATCATCTTGCTCCCTGCACAGCAGATTCTCTTAGAAATATCCTACGCTGGTCCCATAACTGTGCAGTCACTCTCAGTAGCTACTACAGTCTCATTCCAAGTATGATGCCTTAGGCTTGCCCATCTGCCCCATTTAAATATTTAATTTCATATTCATAGCCCTTCTCATTCTGGTGCACGTGGGCTCGTGGCTACAACAGCTTTTAGTGGAGGGGGTGGTAATGTCATTCTCTTCCGCTTCGCTTGGCTCTTGCTCCTC